ATGAATCAGAGAGGAATAAGTTCGCTGTTGGAACTGCAGGCCTGCTGCTGGGTTTGCTGGTTTTTGTTGCTGGGCTGATTTTCTACAAGAAGAACTCAACAGGTGAGAAACAGGACAACAACAAAAACTCAAAAATTAACAAAAAGTCATGGTCTCCAGTGTTTGTGCTGGTTAAATGTGTGCAGTGATGAAACTGTCACTGTGTCTGTAATTTGTGTTTTAAGATTTGTTGATTTCAGGATGAACAACCCATTGCATCATTCTGCATGATTCTGCAAAAGTGGCAGAATATTTACGATGCTACTGTTTTAAATCAATTCTGTCAGAAAAGATTTCATATTTCACTGACCTTGAAATTATAGAAAGCTTGAAGGTCAACACTATCAAGCATTATTCCTAAAAATGTCTTCCAAAAGTGACGTTCCTATACAACTAAAGTGCATTCTACATTATGATTGGAAGGAAATACATTTTAAAATCCACGTAGGGCCAGTGTTAAGTCAGTATTACACTCTCCATAGTCTGACTCACCAGACGTAGACTTTAAAATATACGTTTGGCATTTCCGGAACACATTCCACTTTCTACTCCCTGTACACTACCTGTGTGTCACTAGTTTTGAAATCCCCAACAACAACCTCTGAGCAGCAACTTACATACTGAAAGTAGGAGGTTTTGATGAAGATTTGGACTGCGCAGCCCTGCATGGCTCACTTTTGAGTCCCAGCGTGCAAATGTTAAACTCTGTTTTTCAGGGGCACCATCACTGCATCCCGGGCTTAGCTAGATGATTGTGATTGGTTCAAAGGAATCCAAACACTCCAGAGTTTTTTTTCTCACCTATAGCAGAATGATGTGGTGCAGTCAGACCATTCTCCAGCACTGATACATCTGCAAATATTGTAATAAGCCGAAGACCTCTCTACAAGCACCCCAATATTTGTGTCTCAACTTTGACAACTATGCTACAGTGGCAATAGTGTACATGCTTGGTGTGCATGTGCAAACTCAGTGTCTTTGCAAACTCCTGAAAATCTTTTAAGCAGATATTTTCAATCTAAATTGACGACAGATTCAGCAACTGTGGAACTTTTCAAATAAGCTACCATGCTGGTCCAGTTTGAAATCCAGCAGCAGGAAGTCCTCCAGTGAAGCCTTCGTCCAATCAGGTGCAGCCAATCTTAAAGAGCATGACAAGACTGTACAGTTAAAACTGATTGAGGAGACGAGATACAAGTGCATCTGAAGTCTAAAAAGAGGGCAACTGAAACAAAAGGAGGATATAAAGCAACAAGACAAGACACACAAGTAAAGGAAATGTCAAAATAAAACAGGAAATAAACAGAACAAAACCAGAAACAGTGACAGTGATAAAGTCCTAGGAAGTAGGATGCAGGGTGGTGGGATAAGTCAACAACAGGATCTTCAGGACACCAGAGTTTGCATTCTGTGTGGAACCATTATTCCAAAAGCTAGCCAGTGCTTTCCAGATCTGCAGAAATACACGTAACACCAATTTTACCATTTACCCAAATCCACAATGTTCTGCACACATCCTTTGACTTTGGAGGAGCCTTGACTTTTTTATACATGCTTTCCATTGGGGGTGGGCGATACTGCAACATTTGGTATCGATCCAATACCAAGTAAATACAGGGCCAATATTGCCTGTACCGATACTTTTCACTTACAAAAGCATCTTATCTACTTTCATGTAGAACAATGCGTCACCACTTATTAAGTCAATGCAGCAAGAGTTACGTGAGCGAGAGGAGAGAAGTGAGAAAGAGGAAAGAAGAGACGTGAGGAGAGGAAAGATGTGAGAGAGAAAAGAGAAGTGAGCGAGAAAACAGATGTGAGGAGAGAAGTGAGAAAGAGAAACGTGAGGACAGGAGAGGAGAGGCGAGGAGAGACGTGATCCACCCACCACTGCTTTCCATTGACAGAGCCCAAACTCAGTGGAAAGCTCTAAAATCTCCAGATATCCCATGCTATGTTTTTCACTGTGTTTAGGAATAAATCAGTGAGAT